TGTTTAACTTTAACAAGGCTAGCTTTATAATAGGCTAGATATCTACTAGTTTAGTTGTTACAGCTTTAGAGAGACAAGGACAGCTAAAGGCAGTGCAGCAAGGCAACAGAGAGTGGACAACAGTCATCTAGGGCATCAACGCGACAGGGTGGGCTATTCTACCCTTCATTATCTTCAAGGGCCGCCATCACCTCTCTGCCTAGTATAAGGAGGGGGATCTACCTCACAATTAGGTTATTACAGTATCTGAGAACAGCTAGACAACAAATAAGCTTGGCCTGCAGTGGTTAAAGCACTTTAATAAGTATACAAAGAAGAGAGTAGTTAGCAGCCACCAACTGCTCGCAATTAACAGCTATAAGAGCCATGACTCGCTCGCTTTCTAGGAATACTGCAAGGAGAACAAGATTATCACTATCTGCATGCCTCCACACTCATCACACCTCCTGCAGCCTCTTGATGTGGGGTGTTTCTCGCCTTTGAAGACAGCGTATGGCCGCCAAGCTAAGAATCTCATGTGCAACTAGATTACCCACATTACAAAGCTTAAGTTCTTACCATGCTTTATACGCGCCTATAATGCGGCAATTACTCCTAGTAATATCTAAGGAGGGTTTTAAGGCGCTGGATTGGTCCTATTTAACCCAGAACAGGTTATAATGGCGCTTAATGTCTAGCTACGTACTCCATCACCACTACTCCCCAGCAATAAGCCCTAGCAGTTGCAAACCCTAAGCAATACCCTTAAATTAGGATTGCAATTAACACTTGTAAAGGCAAGGATTCAGAGGCATGTAGATAGCTTACTAACGTCTATAGTAGAGGCTTTTAAGAAGGTCTTAAAGGGAGCAGTAATTATCGCGCATAAGCTAGTGTTGGCGCAAAAGGAGATTGCAGAGCTTCAAGCGGCAAATAAGGCTGCTACGCGACGTAAATCGCACAAAAGAAAGTAGGTTTAAGCAGAGGGGACCTTAACAGTTAAGGATAGGGCTTGTTTAGCTGCTCTTAAGGACTTTGGGGCGCGTAGTGATGGGAAGAAGCCAAAGAGGCGGGTGCGCGCTGAAGTAGGTAAACTATCTCAACAATGGTGTACACAGTGCAAAGAGACTGGGCATAATGCGCGTACCTGCCAGAAGGTAGTAGAAGTAGACTCTGAATGATATCGCATCTTGCCTTGTACTATACAGGGCCAAAGTGGGCTATTTTGCGCCAGAATGGGGTGGTTTTGGTGGGGGCTTGGCAAGAGTGATCCACGAGCCCGGGTGATCCACGAGCCCGTGAGGTACGTTAGAGCAGAACTGTTAAAAGGCTTTTAAGGCAGCAGGGCTAGTCCTAATTAACGCGCAGGTTGTATTAGATTGCCTTAAAGTGCGGCTGCGTACCCTGCTAGAACCCCATCCTCCTAGAGACGCCATAGCAGTTAAAGACTCTAAGCAATACCTATAAGTTTAGATCTTAATTAAAGCTTGTACGCAATTCCTTTACTCGCTTGCCTGTTACAGCTTAGGCTAGTTTCTCCTAGCTTATAAAAGGTGGTAAGCTAATGCTGCATAAAAATGTGCTTTAACGTGCTCAGATCTATAAGCTTAAAGAGCAATTAGCAGAGATGACCAAGCGAAAATCGCGTAAGCGCAAGCGGATTCAGCAGGGTGGTACTATGGAGTATGGGACTGCTGCAGCGCAGGTAGCTGCTAAGGCATCTATAGCGCCTCAGCGATCTAAGAAGGCTTATGGTAGTAGTGGTCAAGAACTAGCCTAACCAGCTCTTTAGCGCTGTAGGAACTGCAGTAGGACTAGGCACAATGCGCGAACGTGTAAAAAGGATATAGAGGTGTCCTTAGAATTAGATGATAGTACAACGTACACAGGCTCCCTGTTTAATAGCGATGAAATTAAGGAGTTGTAGCATAGGTTGAGGCTGCCAAGAGATTTTGGGACACTTGGTGATGTGGGACACTCAGTGATAGTTTAGGTTAAGACTAAATACTTCTCTAAGAAAGTATGCCTTTAGAGCTAGGAAGCTACCTAAAGACTACCCTATTTATATTATAATTAAGACTCTAAAAGCTACTCTAATATTATAAAGAGATAACTTAGAGTCTAGCATAGAACAAGAGGAAGAAGCTGCTCTCCTAAGGCTAAGAATAGGCCTACCTACTAAGCTTATGCAAATTATATAATTAATATAAAACGCTACTCGTAGCATAGAAGAAGAAAAACTGTAGGACAACTATTTCTGCCCCTAAAACAAGACTATATTATACACAGCAGAGATCTCTAAACTCTGTAAAGAAGAAGAAGTAAAGTAATATAAAATGTAAATGCTACAGAGACTAGGGGACAACCTACTTGCTATCTGCACAGACGCCTCTTCTATTAAGAAAGGCACAGGAATAGGAATAGGAGTTACTACTCTAGACTATAAACAGCAGGCTAAGGAGATCTACTCTACTAAATATAATATTAGCAAAGGCTAGATTGTATGCAATAGAGACCTAGAAGGTATAACAAGAGCCTTTAAGTTTAGAGCTCCTATAGCTACAGCAGGACAAGAGATCTAAGTCTTTGCAGATAACTAGGCAGCTATTCTAAGGCTAAAGACTCCTTCTAATAACCCTAGACAAGCTTAGTAAATCTACTACACAAAGGCAGCAAAGGCAATTTACAGCAAAGGCGCAATAATTAGCCTACACTAGACCCTAGGACACCTAGATATTACAGGAAATAAAAAAGCAGAATCCTTAGCAAAACAAGTTACAAAATAGCAACTTGTATCTAATACTATAAGCCTTATAATATTAGGTATTAGGATTAAAGCTATTGCAAGATAAGAGTAGTAATAGAAACTCTAAGCCTACTCTACAAAAGCAAAGCTTAGAAATCCTAGCACCTATGCAGCAAGATTCTTGCTAAAACTAACAAGCAAGATAACACTACTAAAAAACACTAGAAGAGAAATTGCAAGCGCATAATACTAGCTAAAGCTTAGACATAGATATAATAAAGCATATCTATACAATATATAAATAACAGAAAGCTGTAAATACAGCTATAGATATACACAAACACCTTAACACCTACTACTTAGCTGTAGAAACTACAGAGAAGTAAGAAAGAAAATAAAGAGCAGCCTACAGGAGACAAGACTTATAATATCTATTCTCTTAGACACAAACAGGGGAATCTAAGCTACACTAGCTTTTATACAAGCTCTTAACACAACTGCGAGCTAAATGCAAAAGCGCCTTACAAAGCTAGAAGAGGAGGCAGTTATACTACGTATACTTGAGGAGTCTGCGTGTGGCCTACCCTCCTTAAAGGCAGACATACAAGATATGGCAGATAAATTGCTAAGAGAGCGCGGCGCAAAGCCTGTTGGCAAGAACTGGGTTAACAACTTAGTAAAGCGTACACTAGAGCTCCAGAAGCGGTGGACCCGCCCAGACAATCGCCAGCAGGCTGCCTGCGAGGACCTAGCAGTTATCTAGCCCTAGTTCACGCTTGTTCAGTCTATAAAGGCGAAGTATAGTATTATAGACAAGGATATATATAACTTTAATAAGTCTAGCTTCCTAATAGGCAAGATCTTGTTAAAGCTAGTAGTAACAGGCTTAGAGAAGCCTAGGAAGCAGAAGAAGATCTAACCTAGCAATTGTAAGTAGGTTACCCTAGTACAAGGCGTTAGGTTAATAGGGAAGGTTATCCTACTATTCCTTATCCTTATAGGCAAGGTTCTTATCTCTAAATAGTTTACTAAGGACCTCCTACAGGACTAGGTTATTAATATTAGTCCTACTAGCTAGACTAACAATAATCTAGTGCTTGCCTAGCTCTACTACTTTAATACGCATGCAAAGCTAGTTAGGGTCTACTAGCTACTTATTATTAATAGCTATAAGAGCCACTGCTTAGTGGCTTTCCAAGATCTCTGCAGAGAGAAGAAGATAATCACTCTCTGTATGCCCCCGCACTTGTCGCACCTGTTGCAGCCACTTGACGTCGCCTGCTTCTCGCCACTAAAGCGCCTGTATATTAACAAGGTTTTAGCCTTAGCACGCAGTTATATCTACTATATTAACACAGAAACCTTCCTGCTAGCCTTTAAATTAGTGTTTAGTAAGGCGTTTATTAGAGAGAACGTTCACGCAGGCTTTAGAGGTGCTAGGCTAGTCCTACACAACCTAGAGGTTAGGCTGGCGGAATGGGTATACTCCAACGTCCTTCGTGGGTACCCCCCAAAACCTTATCAATAATACATGGATTCTAGC